AATACTTAGGATCTTTATAATAAATATATCTACTACTAATAATTCCTTAAATACCTAGATTAATATAATAGCACCTAACGCCCTAGCTCTCCCTAATCTTTAATAGCTTCTACTAGATAATTATAGGGTAAGGAGTAGTTTAGAAAGCTACTACTACTAGACTACTCCTAGTTAAGTAGCTCCCTAAGTCTCCCTAATAAGTGTAAAGGAGGCTTAACACGCTAAGAGGGTAAAATATACTATAGCACTCCTTATATTATTAAAGGAGATAGTTTTAATATCCTAGACTAGTAGAAATTAAATAAAGCTACCTATCCCTAACTTATATAGGTAGCACGTAATATTCTACCTATCTAGATTATAGGGTTAGTATTAAAAGAGTATTTAATACTAGTAAGGACCTTATTAGGGACTAGAGGCACTACCTTTCTATATAGAAAATTTAGTAGCTTATAGTTCTTAAACACGCTATTTCTTATAAAGAATAGGATTCTACTATAATAGGTAGTTAGTTTATATTAGATAATATTATAGAGGATCTTTTTAAGGTTCTAGCTAGCTCTAGGAAATAAAATATAGGGATAGCTAAAGGATAGAAGGTTCTAATTTCTAGTAGTTTAGAAGATTCTAAGGTAACTAAGGATAATATACCTAAATAAGTAGAGGAGTACACTAAACCTTTACCACGTAAATATTAAAAGCTATAATATTACTATAATTAATAGCTATAATAAAAGGATATAACCCTATTTTAGAGGTCTATATATAGTGTATTTTATATATAACTATAAGAATAGCTATAACCTATACACTACCTATATAACCTTAACTAATATTTGCTTATATAAGACCTAACCTAACTACTAGGTCTATATAACCTAACCCTAACCTAAGCCTATAGCCTATATAACCTAACCCTAACCTAAGCCTATAGCCTATATAACCTAAACCTAACCTAAGCCTATAGCCTATATAACCTAAACCTAACCTAAGCACTAGGTCTATGCGACCTAAACCTAACCTAGATTTACTAGCCTAGGAGTAAAGGATATACCACGTGATTATATTAACTACATAGCTATATTTTAGCCCTTATACTTAAAAGTTTATAATATAGAATATAATACCTAGGTTAGCTATAAGCTATAATAGTACTTTAGCTCTAGTAAAGTACTAGTAATAGTATATAGGGATTTAGTGTATAAGCTAGTTACTATAAAGCAAGTAGTTAAGCTAGTAATAGGTGCTTAATATATTAGGATACTAGCGACTATAGGTAGGCCTATTACCTACCTGCCCACCTACCTATTAGATTACTAGATTGCCTACCTAGAAGCTAATTCTAGTAGTTATAGCTAGTAGGTAGGTTAATATATTAACCTAACTACTAATATTAAGGCTAGTAATAGTACTACTATATAGCTAACTATTACAAGGGCTATAGTTAAGCTATTAGAGCCTAGTAAGGATAAGGAGCTAGGTAAATTGCCTACTATAGGTAGGGTAGCTATAGTAGGTAGGGTAAGGGTTATAGTATAGGTAGAGGTTAGGGCTATAATTAAGGTAGGTAAGGGATAATATATACATGCTTAGTAGGCTACTATTACCTTATATAAGCTAGTAATATAGTAGGTAGTAAGGCTAGGTAGTTATTATTAATCTACTTAGCTAAAGTAGGGTTATACTAGTTGCTAGACTAGCCCGCGCCCTTATAGTAATATTTTTTAGCGCGTAGTTTAGTAATAATTATCTATAGCTTATAAGGAGTAGTAGTAACTTTAAGGTAAGGAGCCTAGCTATAATTAACCTACTAATATAGGTAGTAATCTACTACTTATAGTACCTTTAAATAAAGCTTTAGATTTACTAGAAAATACTAATATAGTATACTAAGCGTCCTACTATATTAGTTAGTACACTACAAGAACTTATAGGTACTATTAAGCTACTACTTATATAGCTTAGTGCGCGTGTAAGCTAGGTTATTTACTATTATTATAAGTATATACTAGGTTATACGCCTAAATACTACTAAAAATATTAAATTCTAATAGTTAAATTAAAGCTAGAAGTTCTTAATACTATTTATTAACCTTATATACTTTATATACTCCTTATAGAATAGGTAGAGCCTTTAAAATAGTGTAAGGAGGTTAGCTTAACTACCTTATAGCTACTCCTTAATAATATAGTGTGCTTCCTTAACTTTACTTATTATAGTAAGCTAGAAATAAGGGTGCTTATTAATATAATAGCTTATAATCTTAGTAGAGTAGTTATTAAGCTAATACTACTAGAGGTAGGTAGTTATAGTAGTAGATCTTTGCTTATATAATAGTAGATTAGCTAAATAGTTAGCTTTAGTAGGTAAGGTAATAAGGTTATAGTATAGCTACAAATATTTATTAGTGCTATTATTATTAACCTAGCTATAACCCTTATAACGCTACCTAAACTCTGCTAAAACTTTTAACTATAGATATAATAGAACGTCCTTATTTATATACTAGTAGTAGATAATAACTCTAGGCATGTTAAATACCTAATCTAATATATTTAGAAATGCTAGATTATAATTAATAGCCTAAAATTATACTATAATACTATAATAGTTAAGGAGCTTATAGAGGTTTTAGAGCACCTATAAGAATATAGCCTTAGCTTAGTTATAGATTATTGCTACCCTAAGCTAGATTATCTTATTATTACTACCTAAGCTAATAAAATTAATAAGAGGAAAGTAGTATTTATTTATCTTAAAGGTGTAGTTAATAAGGGGGATATTAGGTAACTCTTAGAATAGCTAAATAGAGTTAGGATAGAAAAATATAATAGAGGTAATATAGTTATCTACGTTAATACTATAACTAAAAGTTTTAGTGTTCTAAATTAGCAGTAGAAATTCTAAGGCATAGATATAATCTAGCCTTAATAGGACTAGTATATACCTAAAGAAGCCTAGCTTAGAGGGTGAATATATTTATAGATTATAATACTATAAGAAATATTGCAATATTAAAATACTACTTACTAATACTAATAGTTTCCTATATCTATCTCCTTTACTAACGCCTCTACCTATATCTAGCTACTTATTCTAGCTATCTAGAACTTATAATACTTATTTTAAATATCTTTATATAAAAAATTTATATTAGGATACCTTTCCTATATTAATAAAAGCGCTTATTTAGAACTACGCGCTATCTTAAATATACTCTAGAGTTTAGTACCTATTTTAGCTAAATACGTTACTTATTAGTACTACGCTATTATATATAGGTTAGAAACTAGTAGGTAATTATAGGTAATACTTAGCTTATCCTCTACCTATTTAACTTACTACTAACTACTAAGATCTTAATAGTTATCTACTATAATCTAAAACTTTATTTTATAGTTATACTATATAGTACTAGCACCTACCCTTACTTAAACCCTTACTACACCTACCTTAGGCTTACCTTCTTACTAATTATATACTATAAGAAGCTAATAACACCCCTTCTTCTACTACTACTACTTATTATAGGCTACCCTATAGGACTTTACTTACTTATTTATAGCTTAGATAGCCTTATTAAAGCTATTATATATAGCTTCTAGTAGTAGGAGATAGTTATACTTATAATTTAATAGCTTCTAGAGATTAGTAAGATTATAGACTCCTTTACTAACCTTACTATATAGTACTCTATGCTTAATCTAGTAAGGCTAGTAATACTTATAATATAGGGAAGGGCCTTATTAAGGGCTAGGCTAAATAACTATAGCTTTAACTAGAATATCTAGCTTAGATTCTAACTTAGATTTAGGCTTAGTATCTAATAGGACTTCTAAATTAGACTCCTTATCTTCCTGCTTATATTAGTAAGATAGATTAGGCTCCTTAATAGTAGAATCCTTAGTAGAGGATTTACTAGAGTCCTCTAAGGTAGTAGGTAATAGTAGCTCTATAAGCTTAATAGAGCCTATTAACTCTATAGTAGTAGGTAATATTAGTTAAGTTAGGGGTAATATATTTAAGTAATAAGAAATTAGATATTTAGGCGTGTTTTAGTAGGATCTTATTACTATATAATATTTATATATTAGGTTAAATAGCTATACTACTACTTAGTTTTTACTACTAGTCTACTTTATATATATACCTTAAATTTTTCCTTATTAGATATTTTCTATCTAATATATTTTAAAAGTATAATATAGTTAGTGCTACCTTAGCTTGCTACTAATTTACTAGGTGGCCAGGGTACCTGGCGCTAAGTGCTTAGGGCGAGGACGATTAGTCTATTGTGGCGAGGACAATTAGCACTTCCCGGTTCGGACGAGATAGATCCTTCGTGGCCACACCGTATCGCGCTTATTGCTCTTGTTTTGATTGCTGCTAAGCCTTCTCGAAGTCAGATTTTACACCTATAGATTCGGGCCGTGGTGAAGCTGATCGGGGAAAATATACATAAAAGTCAGTCGGTACCCTTGCGCAGTGCCGGTAGTGACCCTGGAAATTCGGAAAATTGGATTCCCCATGGCATGAAACAGTTTTCTCCTAATCTCTCAATATCGAGGTAAGCTTACTGTGCTACTATGCGTGAACGAGCTGTAGCAAGTGCAGTTCAGTGGCTAGTAGTTGTTGTCAATGTTGGCATCTACCCAGATAGTATAGTAATCAGGTGAGGAGGCTATGGGTCCTGTATTTCGGTCGAGCGCAACGGCTCACTTGCTGCATCAGGACATACCTTCCTCTGTCATGTACAAACAACACAGTGTACTACGGTATGCATTAGGCCGATTGTCTCTTTGCTCACTGCTCTTGTTCTTTGGCAAGTCGGCAAAATATCGTCAAGGTTTGCGCAAAGTTCTGCATCATCTGTCCATTCATAGACGGCACCGCACCCTTCTTCAAGCAGCAATATACTTTTCCTGTCATCTAGATTGTCCAATACTCTGTCTACACTTGGCATACACAGCCTCCGAAGGCTTCCTGCTATGCCGACCACCTACCACTTGTATCGCTGAAGAGATTGAACATGCACGAGCTGGCCGTTGCAGTGACGAGCGTGATGATCTTGTCCCATTGTCATGCAGTGGTCAACCTGCCAATCCTGAGCGGCGGCTTGTGATTGCACGACTTGGGGCGTTTAGTGCTCACTATGGGTGCGAATGTGCTGCGGAGTCTTGCTGAGTCGTAGGGAAAGACACGTCGTGATCGATATACATTGCTCCAGACTTGGACACAGGTGACGAAATGAGCTTTCGGAGGAAGAGATGTTGATGCGTGAATGCTCAATCCTCGTGCTGATCATGGTGGCCGAGGGAGGTGTACCGTGAAGGTACCAAGGCTTTGCTGAGGTTTCGACGTCCGCGCATTTCACTCGCTACCGTACCTGTACCGTATTTGACTTAGCCCGATCAGGAGGACACGTGCAAACAACGCCCGCGATTCACCCATGTGTGCTCTTCAACACGTCACTGTCCTGGAAAGTTTCCCACAAGGCCACATGTTGCGACAACACTCTTTTTATACGCCTAGCAACGAGGGACATTCGGGGCTCTCTAGCAGATACACGCGCCATGATTAATCTACGCTCCGTCGTTTTGATGGGAATATCCTACGTTGTGATACCACGCCTCACTTTCCTGCCGCAAAACATCCATTCCATCCTCATCATCTTCGGGCCCTTCATTCTACCCCGCGCTTTCGACTTGTTCACGACAGCCAGGGCGACTGATCACCGTGCGCATGCGCCTGTACGACCGGTTCCACAAAGAGTCAAGCATGCACTGAACCTGTTGTTCTTGAGCGCATGTCTCTTCTTCGTCTTGTCCTTTGCACGCTTCGCGCCTGAGAACATCTTCCTACAGACACGAAGCCATATAAGGACAGAGACGAGCGTATTGTTTGCACGACTCCGCCATCTGCGACCGCTTACCGCCGACGACGAAGCGCTACGCGTCAAATTCAATTATGCTCGCAACAAGCTGTTGTACCTTACCTATGGACCAGATTCGGTGCTGAACTGCATCTGGTGTGCAGATGCCAATGAGGACGACCAGCTGTACTACTTCCTCTACACACTGCCAGCCATCCTCACGCCACATATATTCCAACTTGGTGCACTCGGTCTAGCGACCTCTTCACTTGTCGGAGCCGAAGGGTCGCGGTTTCGCACGCATGCCATTGTCGTTGGCCTGGTCATGCTTTTGTGCGAGTGTTCGTACATGGGGCTCTACGATCTCCAAGCCAACAAGCGGGCAATTACCACGAAAGAGTTAGATTTTGCCTTTTGGCGCGTGCGGTTCCTACGCTACATGGCCTTCGCACTTGTAGATCTTGCATTTGCGCTCCTCCTCTGGGTCACGAGTACGAATCGATGGCTTGCAAAGCCCATTTCTGTGGCCGAACGCCTCGAACTAGCGACCAAACAATCCGAGGACACACTGAACAAACTACGCGCACTTGGTCTGCTCAGCAACTCGGTGAATCGCGATGCAACATTGCGAGGCGTGCGGGAGGAGTACTGGCGGACAGAAGGACAAGTCATGGCAGAAACGATCCAGGACGAGGCCGTGGCCGAGCAGATCAACGCTGCGATTAGCAAAATGGACTTTAGCTCGCTACAAGGACGGGTCGGGGAAGTTGCAGATGGCATTCTCAGAGGCATCGATGGCCTTCGATCATCTCAGATGATGCCTGAGCGTGAAGTAAGCGGTTAGGCTCAAGGTTTGTTCCTCTTAGAGCCGAGGTGATATTGATGACGGATACAGGTGGGTGCATATAGGCCAAGTACGGAAATCTACACAATGTATACGTAGAGTATGCGGCTCGGTAGGACAGGGATGCCTATAATGCCTTGGCGATATTCACTTACTCTAGCTTTGTAGTTGCACGAAATGATACCCAGATGATCAACCTTTGCTGATGAACCTCTGGCGAACTTTATGCAGAGCGCGGCCAACTTGTTAGACTGCTGACAGCCGACGAAACCTGCCATCGTCGTACCGCAGGCCATGCCCAAGCCCACCATTGTGTTTTGCGCGAGCAACTCCAATGAGCACCACCGTTGCACCAATGAGTTCCAGCATCGCAATCATGTGCTTGAACTTGACATGACCGTCACCGAATCGTACAGCATGTATGATGGTCGACATTGGCTTCCCCATGACTCTTACGGCGGCAAAGTCGTACACTGACTGCACAAACAAAGCGGATAGTCGCGGCGGTACTTGGATACCACAGGCTCGGCACGCCCCGCGCCCAAACAACCAACATCTGGTACCGCGGCAGACCAACAACCATCATACCGGCTTCCACGGCTTCCTGAATCCCTCCTTCGTCATGCTTTTGCCCCTCTGGACATGGTCGGCGAAAAGCATAACCTGCTGGCGTGGAGGGTCAATTGCAATGGACGTTGCTGTGTTGCAAAGTCTGCTGGTTGCGGACTTGGGGGTCCACACCGAGGTGCAAAAAGAATTCGTTACCGGTATCTCTTCTCACGCTGCAAGGCGGAATCTGCACTAACAAACAGTGGCCGTGGTGGACCGTGGCAGACTTGACTGGCATAGGATTAGGCCTGGGCATTCCATCGTTTGTGCCGCGTGATGGCTTTCGATTGAAATTTCTGGTGCACAACGTACCGTATAAGAAGCTTGCTTGACTACCTTGGCCGTCTCCCTCACTCCAACAAGAAAAGTACTCGTACCTCGCCTTCACACTCTCCATAGGCCCAGTGTGTCCTTCGCACATCACATTGACACCCGTTTGCGCATCATACGCCCTAGCTTAGAAGCAACAATGGCGCCTATTGCCGTCACTCCCCCCAATCACACCGACACCGTCACAGACCTCACACACGATGGGATCCGACACGCCCTCGAAAAGGCCGCGCCATCCCAACTACACTCCGCATCTCTCACTTCTACCATAACCGCAACACCGCCCAACGAGCCAGCCTCAAAGTCGCAAGAACCAACAGAGGCTTCCTTAGCCGAGCTCGATGCCTCAAAACTACAATGCACATACACCCACACCCCTCGTTCCGTCCCCGCCGTCGGTTCTGCAGAAATGGCTTCCCAAAAAGTATGCACCGACCACATGATACAAGCCCGATGGACGGTCGAGCAAGGCTGGGACGCACCCACACTTCAACCCTACGGGCCCCTCTCCCTCGCACCCACTGCCTCCTGTCTCCACTATGCCACCGAGTGTTTCGAAGGCATGAAGCTGTATCGCGGTCTCGACGGCAAATTGCGTCTCTTCCGCCCAGACCTCAACTGCAACCGCATGCTCATGTCGACAAACCGCATCGCTTTGCCCGGGTTCCCGCCGCAGGAACTCCTCAAGCTGATTGTCAAGCTCTGCGCTACCGATGGTAAGAAATGGCTTTCCAAGGACCGGCCAGGACAGTTCCTCTACATCCGCCCCACGATGATCGCTTCGGACCCAGCACTCGGCGTTGAACGCCCGAGGGAGGCTCTCCTCTTTGTCATCCTCTGCTGTTTCGCACCCATGGGTGACATGAGCGGCGGCATCAAACTCCTCGCCTCCCAAGACGACATGTGCCGAGCGTGGCCCGGCGGTTTTGGATACGCCAAGGTGGGCGCAAACTACGGACCCTCGCTCGTGGCGCAGGGCGAGGCGCGGAAGCGCGGGTACCACCAAATACTGTGGCTGTTTGGCGACGACTGCACAATTACCGAGGCGGGCGCGAGTAATTTCTTCGTCGTGTGGAGAACCAGAGAGGGGAGACTGCAGCTTATGACTGCGGACTTGAACGAGAAGATTGTGCTGGATGGCGTGACGAGGCGGTCCATCCTTGAGCTTGCGCGGGAGAGACTGACGGCCTCATCAAGCATGGATAGCGACCTCGAGGCTTTGGAGATTGTGGAGCGCAAATTTAACATCTTCGAGATTGAGCAGGCGGCCAAGGAGGGGAGACTGGTAGAGGCGTTTGCGGCGGGGACGGCATGGTTTGTTGCTCCTATTAGCCAGATTCATTTCCGTGGGAAGGACATCGACGTTCCCATGGCAAAGGGGAATTGCGGTGTCTATGCTGATACTGTGAGGACATGGTTGAAGGGTATCATGTGGGGAAGCGAGGGCATGGAGAGCCACGAGTGGGGCAGGGTCATTGACGAGGAATAGACTACTCTTGAGGATGCACGTCTTGAGGAGAGCGTTTGGAGAAGCTAGCGACAGCACTTTAGCATAATACGTACGAGTTGGTGGTATTTATGTTTCCCAACCAAAATCGTACATGAGTATAGTTACATTGCAGCAGATACATACACTTCTATCCGAGGTAAACTTCGAAACTGAAATTGCCAGTGCGCCAGACAAAGATCTGAATTAGGAATGACATTTAGACACGGTATGCATAAAACTGCGCTACTAGATGAGCTATTTACCGGAGCCCAAAAAGATCCATGCTAATACACAGCAGTAGCTTTTTTGAACCTCTCTTGTATCCCCGAAAATTATTTTAAATTATTCAAATATACTCAGCCTCCACAAATCTCGACTCTGTATTCCTTCCAGTTGGCGTTTGGCTGCCTGTTCCGTGGGATTCATTTTGCGGACGGAGGGCCGGCAGTGAATAGAATTGTGCCGGTGTAGTGCTCGTGCTTGTATTGGGTGACTGTCGCTGTAATCCTTCACTATATTGCCTCTGCGCCACAGTTCGGTCTTCGTAAGATTCTGGCGGAGGATAGTAGGTCAGTGGAGGGCGCTGTATGGGGAGGTCGAGCGAGGCTCGGCCAGGCGAGGTTGGTGTAGGATACGAATGCTGGCGCGCCGAGGCCACAGAGATGGTGCCTTGCTGGTCCCATGTAGGCGAGATATTCTGAGCTGTACGGTTGTTCGGGGCATGAAACTGCTCGCTGCCGTCTTGCTGGTGTGGACTGTGTTGCGTGGATGCAACTGGCTGGGCGAGATTCGTATCTGCAGACGATGATGGGAGGCCATAAGATGGAGGATGCTGGTTGGCATAAGGTTCATAGCTAGCGGATTGTGAGCAGATCTGGGTAGCGCCAGAGTTTGGTGACCTTTCATGCATGGCAACATACTTGCCAGCAGTTGATGTTGATATCTCATGTGGGAAAGCCGTGGCCGCAAGCTCGGCAGGCGGTGGAGTTGGTGGATGCTGATCTGCTACGTCGTTTTTCGGTGCTTTCTTGCGGCGATGTAGACAGAAGATTATCAGTGATATTATCGCTATGGCTCCGAATAGGCCTCCCACCGTGCCTCCCGCGATGGCGGCAATGTTACTCCTATCCGAATCACTCGATGTTGAAGACGCAGCAGCAGATGGTACCAGCCGAGTAGCCGTTCGTGCGGGAAATGTAGGCCTCAACGTGTAATAGGTAGCTAAATCAGGGTGGCCCCACGTTGCAGGTGCTGTGACAGTCGCTCCTCCTGTTGGTCTGGTACCATCAGCTCCGTTTAACAGCTTCACAATGCGGGATGAACGTACCCGCCACCAACAGCAGACATGATAGGCGTAGGAACAACATATCCGGAAAGACTCGGGTCAAATTTGTCCCACAGCTTTGTTTCGCCTCCATTGTAACCCAATACCATGTTGTGTTGACCTTGGCTGTCAGGGGCATCGCATTGGTCATATGTTGGAAACCAGCCCCCCATGATTATCATCTGATCACCGTTGATCACGTTGGCAGTGCATCCGCCATGGCCTACAGCAGTCTCAGGGACGTTGCCTTCCGGGAAGGCCTTTATCCATTTGAATGACGGGACACTCAAGATATACACGTCATCGAACGCGGCAAGTGCGCCAAATCCGTACCCTCCGTACATATAACTAGTTCTTGTCAGTTGCGTTGGCCAGATATGACGAGTGGAGGTGTCAATCGTGTGTGCAAACAGTCAGGTTGTGACTCTTCCGGCTCTTCATATTTGTACGATCACTCGGATGCCCAAATACTGGTAAGGGCAATGTTTTGTTTGTGACGCCGCTGAACCATGCTGGAAATGCTCAACATAGACCACACTCACATGTTGAAAGAAGATTTGTCATTAGGCCAAGACACATCGGCGCAGAATTGTCTTCTTGTCAGAGGTACATCGCCTGATGCCGTCTGCGTGTACCACTTCGAAGAAGCAAGATCGTAGATATGAATTTCCTAGGCATGTAAGTCTCGACCTTGAGTGCTTTAAAGGCTTGACCCACAGTCATGTTCGCCTGTAACGAATCATTTAGCAGAGTCAAGCAAAGACAGTCATGCAAAGACTCACAGGAGTAGAGCTCCCATTGCGATGGTGGTCTTCAATGCCACCGAAATACATGAGAATACCTGCATCTGATACTGGCAAGTAAGTCAAGTGGCCCTCCGCTCTCCCGCTATCGTCAGGTCCACTGATATTCTTTAGTTCGCCAGTGGAGAAGTCAAAACGCATTAGGCCACTAGTAGCGAGTGATGGACCCTCCCAGTCTGGAGTTGTATTGTTGTTCAGCCAGCCTCCAAAATAGAATCCAAAACCACGGTCCTCTACCTGCGTACCTGCGCCAAACGAGACACGTTGGGGCGATTTCTCGCCATTGGTAGCGGTGCTGTTCCATTGATCCAGTAGGACGTCATACGTCCACATGCTGAAGTCGGTTGGAGGCTCATCGGCATACTCGCCTCCAAATTGGTAGAAGCATTTGTTCGTGTTGTCAGCCCATATGTAGCCGCCAGAGACACTTGGTACGTTCTTAGGCTTTGTGAGATTATTTGACTGAGGTGGCATGCCATCACCACCCTGGGCGGTGAGATCGCTGAACAACAAAAAGTCGTCTGAGACAAGATTGTTAGTTATCTCGACTTCGCATCCGTTCGCATCAACGTACTTGAGTAATTTGACTTGAAGGGAATATTGCCAACCATGCCACCATCGATATACAACCTAGAATCGATGCGTGCTGTTGAGTGGCCCCATCGTCGACAACTGGGAATGTTTAGCCCAGCACCTTCAAATCTTAGATGGATGCGACACACAAGGCCTTAATTGGATCATCCTGCGCGCCTTGGGACCACGCGAAGCCAATAAGACTGAGCGGAATAAAGAGAGATCGACGTGTGAATGCCATCATTTGTTCTCATAGCAGTATTTGGGTAGCAAGTGCGAGTGACCTGTCGGTCGGTAACAGTAAAGTGAGGGATAACGAGGTCTTTGAAAGGATTGGCATCACGACGTTAAGCTGCAGCTGTCGAAGTAAGCTCACAGGGCTGAAGGATTCCCCACTCGGGAGAGACAATGGGCATGCACATAGCTGGCTGAAACTCTCGTTCGTGGCGCACTTTGTTGGGGGGGTTGAAGCGGAAGCTGACCGATCTGACCAGGACAAGAAGCCTGCTGGACGACTATCTTCTCAGCCATGCTGCAGCTTGTCAGACTGAATCACCAATCAGAAGCTGGCACAGCATATGCCAATGGCCTTCAGGTCCGAAAAAAGGCGTTTTCCAAGGAGAACCGGATTCTTACATGGGATGCGAGAACACGAAGCCAACTCGCCTATTTGAACCTGGGTTAAGAGGAAAGACCTTGTGATTATCTGGAACAAATCGTATCAGTCACCTATTGTAAACCAGCGACCACGGCAGAGATTTCGCCAGAATGATCAACCGGGCAATGAGTATTGACAGTAATCGAACATAATGAACGTGAGGCCTTTGATCATTCGCATCGCACACTGCGCCGTACCGCTTACTACTTGTGGGGTGGCACACGACGGGGAGTTGGGGGAAGCTTCAGCTCGCTCTGCTGAGACAAGTGACCCCAGCAATTCGGCGCTGTACTACTGTCGTGTGCAAGGAGACCTCCAAAGGCGGGAAAATTGGTCGCGCCCTCTCCGCATCGTACTACGCAATAGATACACGTTGTGGTCATTGGGGGCGGCATCTGATGCTGGTCGCGCGACAGCATGCATCGTGAATCCTGCACTTGAGCCTTCAAGTCATGCAATGAAGGCTTGACCACAGCATTGCGCGAACAAGGAAAATCGATAAGACTGATCCATTGGACTCAACCGATGTTGGTATAAAAGGGCATATGTAGGCCTAAAGCGAACCCGCAGCTCCAATACCGACTGAAGTCGACGCGAACGAACTGCAGGATTAGAACGGCTGTGCTTCAATCTGGGTCTGCGCTGGGAAGGTAAATCCACTTCATGTAAAGAAAGAACCTTATGGTTGATTGGAGACCGTAGATAATATGTGGAGAAGAGAAGAGAGAGAGAGAGGGCTGCGCAAGAAAATAAACCTTGGAACGTTTGGTGGAAACGTGGCTTGGCGCGCTAGAGGAATTTGAACGTCCCGAGGTCCGGTCATACTCGTACCGTCATAGGCACTCCAGCTGACTTTCCCACCTCTGCCTACATTTTGGGCCAAAGCTCCGGTCAGGAGTCCCCAAGTGTGTGGTTGAACGTGACTAAGTTCACGTATTTGTGGTAGTAGAGATAGTTACAGTCATGGTAGAAAATTTATTCAGTGGTATATATTCTCCTACCTAGTCGTAGCAGGCTATAGATTGCTGGTCGGTGGCTGTGTGACTGTACTCGAACATCTAAATTACTGGACACCATGAACCATCGAAGTAAACATTGCCGTGTCGTTTGTTTTAGGCTCCACCATGTGGCTTCACATTTTACGTTAGCATCTTCAAATTACTGTACTACCGGTACATAATAACTTTGGGCGACGTACTTTAGGGCTCCTTCCTTTACCCGCAAGGACTACGCATGGTCGGTAATCACTGGCTGGGTTGCAACCAATATCCATGCCCTGAAACCCACAGGCGCCCGGCTTGCACTGAAAATGCTCAGTCAGATCTTTGGATGCCATGGCAAGTTGGTAATTTGGGTTGTGACTTACATAAAACCCTGGAGCACATTCTTCGCATGTAATCCCTATTGGAATCGCGTATACAACTCCAACCAAGAGCAAAAGACCAGTTAATAGAGCCTTGGAGAAGAAAATTTTGATAAAAGAGAAGAACTTCTGCCGTTCAAACTTCTTTGTTCTTTCTACAAAGCGACCGTGAACCTTTAAATACAAACGCCAAGCAATGGGCTTTTGTATGTGAGGTGTAAGCAGATCCGCAATCTGGAGTTTATTTGTGCTCACGAGCCACTGCTTACTATGTGCGGTGTGATACTGGCAAGTTGTAATTGTCCTCGCCACAATGGGTAGGCCATATGTGCTCGCCCTTCCTGTTAACCGAAGTATAGGTACCAATACCGGTATCCTTGGCTACTTTGTCTGACAAGGTGGCAAGAATATACTTCTTACTATGTGTTTTGTGCAAAACGAATATTAAGATACATGTTGATATACATATACAGACACCCACATACAGACACATATGGGTAGGCCAGGCTTAGGATGAGGGATAAAATACATACAAATAAGCTCCCTCCTCCCTCTTTACTATGTTACTGTTACCACTGTGGGTCTTTTTACGATACATTGAATACACTGTCAATGCATATTACGAAGCTGCTAAGCCCTTATTTAAACGTAAATAAAAAAGTCAAGGACAGTCAATTTATTGCTGCCGTAGCCATTGTCGATGCCTAGCGTTTACCGGCACTACGGTACAAAACTGGCTTACAGTAGCTATATTTATCTAAAGCAGACTAAGAAGTGGTTTAGGTAGAAGAAGTAAACCTAAATAGGGTTTACTATACTATATATTCTACTTTTATTTCTACTTCTAGTAATCTACTAGTATTACGTAGTAATAACTAGTTTCCTACTAACTATTTAAGTATTTTACCCCTCCTTTCTTTAATCTTCTTCACCACCTCCACCTCTACCACCACCACCACCTCCACCACCTCCACCACCTCTATCACCTCTACCACCTCTATCACCTCTATCACCACCTCCTATTAGTAACAATATTATAACTTATTATTATGTTATATGTGCGTATAGCGTGAACCTAATCTTCTCTACCCCTTTTAGTCTTAGTTAGGTATTATAGCGTATAATAGAAATAAAACTACTTTTTATACTTAATTTAAACCCCTACTATAAAAGTAAACTACTACTTTAAACCTATTTATAGGTATACATAAGGGCAGTTTACACCTATATAGTAAACCCCTAGCGTACCATTCTACAGTAAACAATTTTTTACCGTAGTGATAATAGCAGTCATCATCTAGATCGTTCAAGTATGCGATATCCTGTGGGTCAAACTCGTACACGTATTGATCTTCCTGGCCGTCGATGTGGATGATTTCCTCGCAGTAGGGCCCGTCAACCGGGCTGTCTTCTGCGTTATAGGCAGGGCCGACTGCGCACCTGTGGCCCTCGGGGCATTGCCGTTCTTTGTGTGTTCCCTCTGCGGGAATACCGTGGCTGGGTAGGTTTGGGATGAAGCAGTCCCATTGTTTCCATCGCTCGTCCCTGCAGCTTCCGCTTTCAAAGCGCCAGTTAGGATCTATTTCCTCCTTACAAATTCTATCCAGCTCGCCCAGAACGTAGTTTGGGGCATCAGCGCGTTTTTTAACACCATTTTGCTGCTGTTTCTAGTGTTGATTGTGAAGTTTTACAAAATCTTCTCTTAAAATATTGATGTGGATGATTGGCGCAGAGGGGTCCTGTCGTGACTGAAGACCAGCATAGGACTCAAGAGCGTGCAAGCCTTGAGCTATAAATTCAAGTAAAAAGAATGCTCTGTAGAGAGACATGGCGGGCATAGATTGATAAAAAAATGCAAAGGAGGAGGCGGAGTTGTGATGCGCAAGGTGGTAGTTTGCTGAATTGCAGGGCGCTATGTTGAGCTCCTTGAGCAATTTCCTCATTATTTATACCTATTGCCAAAGTCTCGCTAGGTCGTTAGACTTTCCATAAGTTAGAAAGTTCCAAAGAGGGCAATTCTATGTTTTTGGTATCATGGGTTAGTATGGCAATCAACCTGGGGCATTCACAGGGATTGCGCTGTGTGCGCTGCTAAGTAAGTATATTGCTGAGTGAGACGGGTCGTCTACTCCATCGAGCCTTGCTACGGTATTTAAGCAGTTCTCTTCTATTAAAAGAAAGCCATTCAAAAGAGAGCCAGTATTTAAGGGCATACAGCGAGTTTCTGTCATAGGATGATGCCTATAGTACATGTAACAAGCAAAGAAGCCGTTAGTTGAACACTCACTTGAACCAGACGACTCCTAGCACTTGGACTCTTCTTGGTCCAACTGCATAGCCACTCTACTGTTTAATCTAAGGATACTCCAAGGGTTTCTTCCGAAGCTATAAGTAATGCTTAACATAGTATGTGGTTGTGAAAGTGACAGAACCATACCTGATCACAACTGTACTACCCATCTTCCTCAACGACATGACCTAAAACCTACTCTCTACCTTCGTCTCCACATCCTGCAACGCCCACTCACTCCTCGCCTTCCTACTCCTCACATTATTCACCTGCGCCTTAGTCCACCCCTTCGCCTGCGTCGCAGGATTGTAACCCAACCCATTCCTCTTCCCCACCTCTTCATCGCTTAAATCGCTCGCCGCACTGCCATCTGCTCGCTTATAAACCGTTACCACGACTGCCCCGCCCAAGCCAAGATTATGCTGCAATGCCACTTTCGTATTGGGTACACTGCGATTGTTTGCCCATCCACGCATATGCCACACCAGCTCTGCGCATTGTGCCCGCCCCGTGGCACCCAGGAGGAGACCCTTTGATTCGAGCCCGCCGGAAGGGGTTATGGACCAGTTTCCCCCCCTGGTTGATTCCCCCGGGTTGAACAAATTCGTGGGCTTTCCCCTTGGGGGCAAGACCGAGTGCTTCAATGGTGACCATTTCGTTTGCGGAGAAGCAGTCGTGGAGTTCGCAGACGGAGACATCGTCCGGCGTGACGTTTGCTTCAGCGAGGGCTTCTTTTGCGGCGAGGGCACTCATTTCGTAGCCAACTAGGTCGATGGCACTGCGGCTGAAGAGTGCGGGGGTGTCTGTTGCGAGGCGCTGGCCCGCGATGAGAATGGCTTGGGATTTGAGCGCGGGGCGGGCGTCAAGGAAGGCTTGTGAGCAGAGGACTGTTGCGGCAGCGCCGTCGGAGGTGGGGCAGCATTGGAGTTTGGTCAGGGGTTCGTGTATCATGGGCGAGTTCATGATTTGTTCGAGGGTGTATTCGTCTTGAAATTGCGAGTACGGGTTGTTCTTGGAGTGGGCGTGGTTGATGCGTCCAATTTCTGCAAAGTCTCTCAATTCAGATCCATATCTGTTGTAGTGTTAGAGACGATTGGTGGAAGTGACAGATGGGACACATACTTCTCCATGTGTTCGCGACCCGCATTGCCAAAGAGTTGGGCGGCACCAGGGGCCTTGGTAATGCCTCTTGTCTCCTTCATGATCAGGTTCGTGGTTGCCGTGGGGTTTGTACGGTCTTGAAAGAAGGTCTGAAGACTGCCCGGAAACATCTTCTCAAAACCAACCACCAGCACGCAGTCCGCAGCACCGTGAGCAATCATGTTTCGTCCCATGTAGAGACCTGTTGAACCAGTAGAGCAATTGTTGTTGACATTGTATACTGGAATGCCTGTCATGCCAAACTGATAAAACACACGCTGTCCACATGTCGAGTCGCCATAGCAGTAACATGCGACACCTTGCTCGACGTCGTCATAGTTGATTTGCGCGTCAAGCATGGCCTTGACACCGGCTTCGAAGCCAAGTTCGGGATAATCAACCTTGCCTCGAGGTTTTATGAATTTGGTCATGCCTACCCCGAGGACATAGACGGGCTGTTTTTGTGATACCATGATGGCGGTCGCGATGTGTGATGGAGCTGAGGCTGATGGGTATTCTGGCTCAAGCAGTGAAATAGATACAAGTTGCAGGCAGAAAGTGTCAAGAGGAAGGTCAAGTTCAAGTCTCCAGGAATATCCTGCAAGTCGTGAAAGCGCGATGCATCGCATAATAAGCAAGTCGCGTGGCGATCCCCGCCTCCGCAATACACTACACATGGGATGGGGTGGAGAGATGCCGAGGTCGTTTATTTTGGGGAAAGCGGCGGTCAGTAGATGTCCAGGTAGCCGGCTAGAGACCTAAGCATGAACGGCGAACGAATACATTGTGGACGATGCTGTTTCTTTGACATTACACAACCACTTTTTGACTGGAACACAGTGCATCAGTTGGTAGAGTGCTGCCATTTTTGTTGTTTGTTTGAAGCGGGCAACGCGGTCGCGATGTAATATTGTAGGAGAGTGACCAAGCGTGAATACCAGACTTTACCGAGCGCTGACGTGCTGACATGGTGAAGTCTAGTCAGATGAAATCGAGTCTTTCCTCCTCATGCAGAGCAGCCGCAAGGTGGCGTGCCGCGGTTCGTCATGTGAGTAGGAGTCTGGTGTAAAGAGACTATGCCTACAGTTTTGTTGTTTGGCACGATCGACTTGTGGCATGGCAGTGATGAATGCAAAAGAAACAAGACGTGAGGATGTTGTCAGCAGCGGTGTTATCATGCTTCCATTACAGGATGGCCAGACACCGAAGAAGCGAGTTGATGAAATGAATATATATTACACCAGTATACTGCAGAGGGTACCGGAAGACAGGTTTATTTGCAACATGCCTTGATCTAAGCGCCTGTTCGGATACTGTACGTATAGCTATCGTGTGCTACATGTTCAGATCCATGCCCTGGCTACTGACTTCCATCTGGTTTTGGATCTGACAGATGGATTCGAGCGGATATTCACGCTTTCCAATATGTCACATGGTCCTCGGTCGCTGATGGCCTCATGCAGGGCAAGTGTGAAGGCTGTGCCAATGCGCACTTTCGCCCGGTAGATTCCCTGGGTCATGGAGTATAATGTTGGACTGTTGACTCTGGAACGGCTCAACTCACATCCTCGTCCTCCTCATCCCGCCTCCGATCTCTGGCCTCTTCTTGCTCCTTCAAATGCATAGCCTCGACCAGCTCGCTTCCCTCCATGCCCACCTCCTCTCCCTCTCCGTCTGCAGGCTTCTTCTGCCGTATCACCTTTTGCGCCTCCACCCTCTCTCTCACCAGTTTCGCAATTGCGTTTTCCGTCTGAACATCGAGGCTCTTCATCTTTTGTTCCAGATCGCGTTTCAAGTCCCAATTTGGCTTCTTGGGCTGTAGCTTGAACAGGTCCAGCCCATTGTCCTCTTTGTTTTCGGCTTCCTGCTGCGCCTTGGTTTCGAGCGCTAATTGCTGTGCTTTGTACTCGAGCGTGTTTGTGGGGTCTGCGATGGGCAGATTGTCGAAGCCAAGTTTGACATTGCGCGTGGTCGGATCGTAGTTGCGGCCAGAGAGGTAGGTGGTGGCTACTGACGGTGCCTCACCTTCTTCTTCTGTCCGAACAATTGCGTCGGAGATCTCTGCTTGGTGTGCGGGGGGAGAGGGAGCGGCGTCTGCTTCGTCCGAGGTTGGCGCCTGTTTTCGCTTAAGGGATTTCAGCTGTGCGAGACGCGCTTTGCGATCGTTGGCTGCGGCGGAGAGCTTTTCGTGGGAAGACATGGCAAAGGCGTGCGAATGGGGGGGAATGGGTGGTGCCCAGGCTGCTATATTCAGACTTGGCGCTCTACGCAGCAGTGAAGGGTCAAGGCACGTGATTTGTGTATGACTGGAGGTAGATGTCTGGTCTGGTTGGTGAGTTTTGCGGAGCTCAAGCGTGGAGGGTACTGGAGAGGACAAGGAGTAGAGTAGAGTAGAGTAGTAGGAGGCTCAACTTTGTTTCCGGCTGGCAGCTCGAGCCAAGTGTGCAGTGAGTGTGTGCAGCCCGCTAACTTTTCTCACACCAAACTACCCACCTCACGCCCTTCCCAGCCCAAGGCCTCTCTCTCTCTCTCTCTCTCTCTTTTCTCTGCCTTGCTTGTGCTCACCATGGCCCGATGAGGACGAGTCCAGCATTCTCTCTCATCCATCCCATGCCCCCATGCCCCTCGTTCGCCGCCCCAACAATGCTAGCTTCATCGCCGGTGCCCGCGCAGACCTGCCCTTCCTCCTCCCCTTCCTCGCCCCCAGCCTTTCCACCGAGCCATCTGCAGGAACGAGGGGAGCACAGCACCATGTCAAGAGCCCGAAGACAACACATGGCAGAGTGGTGGAGAAGGGAGAAGGCAGTCACGTGAGCTTGAAGGGACGAAATAGGAACGCTGATTTACAGCCCATCACCACTACATCCATTCATGATGGTCACGGTCACGCAGAAGATGGACGCTGGCGACAGGCACGAGGAGCGGCTTCTGCTTCTGGACTTGCCCAACATCCACCAAGACAGACGGCCCCCAATTCTTCATGGAGCCCATCAAGTGTCTGCCAGCTCTATGCCGACATTTTCGCCATCGCTCGTCAGCAAAGACGAAGTTATGCCTCAGTTGGGGCCTGGAATCCAGACGGCTCAGGCCCCCAATCGCCGTACTCGACATACAATCCGCCTGTCAACGAGGCCAAGGAAGAACACATAGCCCATGAGCGCTCCGCTGCTCTGGCCATCGAGAAGGAGCGTCTGCGGGTCTTCCTCGCTCGTTACGGACAACTGCAGGAGAAACAGTTGATGAAAAATGGACAATACCGATCCTTGCTTCGTCGTATTCTCAATTTCGAAGAGTGGCATATGCAAGAATTGCATGTCTCCACAGAATTGCATCGCGGCGACTGGCTCATCCGGACCTTCGCTGCACTAGATCGGTGTACATTTGTTCATATGAGACAGCACACACGCAGAACCAAGATCATCCACAATCCAGAGTGCACAACGTGGTGCTCGAAACTTCTCGAGGGCTTGGATGAGGAAGGACAGTCGCGCATGTGGAAGAACTGGGTCAAAATCGAACGTCCTCTCCAAGAGTCAATCTGGCGGCCACTCTTAATCTATCTGCTCGATTGCAAGCCTAGTCGTGCACTAGACTTTATGGAGGTACTCTGCCAAGATAAACGCATCAAAAAGAACCTAGATGTCGCAGTGCTTGCAGATGCTTTGGGTCATCTGTCCAGTCTACACCGAAACGGACAATACGATACAGATCCGGACTGGAATCCAGACTTTGTTATCAATGAGCTAGAGTTTGTCCCTGGATTTTACCGTATTTTCATTTGCATGTTTACGGAGCGCACGTACATGCTCCCTCAGGACCTTATCTACAGCCTTTCCCAATTTGCAGAAACGGAAGATCTCAAAGAGATATTTGACCTCCTCATCGAGTGCAAATTCCACTTCAGCTTCGATACGCTACTACACTGTGCTAATGTCTTTGCCGAGGCAGGGGAAGTGGATTATGCGCTGCGATGTCTGGAGAAGCTCAGCGAAGGTTGGCGTGGCGAAGGAGCTTGGGATGAGGTGGTGAATCGTCAAAGACTCCGCTGGACTTGTGCGCTGATATTGCGCAATAGCGCGAGTCAGGAATCAGGTTATCGCGCAACGCCGGGTCTGGTCGAGACTTTTGTGCGCATGGGTGTGAAGATGGATCTCACCCTTTACAACGTCGTCATACACAATGCCATGGAGGCAGGAGACTATGCGACAGCTTTCAAACTTTACAACTCGCTGGAAGAGCATAAACTCAACCCAGACACGCACACCCTCGGCATCTTACTACATGGGTGCATACTACAAGACAACCCCGCTATGTTCGGAGATTTCGCAAGACATTGCGAAAACGTCGCCAGAGAGACGCAGAATGCTTGGCTAGCGTCAGAGTACTTATACTACTGCTACGTCCGTCTTCAGGACAACGCGGATGTTGAAGAGTCCACGACTGACTTGTGGCTCGCATACCTCAAACTCTTCCAAGCATCAGGGTTGGAGTCACTCGTGAGTTTGCGAAGGCATCGTCTAAGGGACGAAATTGCGTCCTCTACACTAGAAGCAGGCATCCCATTGATAGACCCTTCCCCAATGGCGGTCTACATACTGTTGCAGGCGGAGATCAAGTACGCAATGTCTCTGGGTGATCAACCTGTGCAGATCCTGTATGATCAATTCAAAGTCCTTGTTCTCCTGGGACAGCATCCGAAACTCAGCGAGTTAGCCAAACAGCCCATTATCTGGAACGCCTTTCTTCTAGCCTTTTGTCGAAAGTTGCAGTTTGCCAGTGCCAGCCAAGTGATCAAGGACATGATGGACAACTCGCCGCAGCCAAACATCTACAGCTGGAACATCTTCATGCAGGCCTTCTTCAAATCCGGGCAAGTGCAGGCCGCCGAGCGCGTCTTTGAGATTATGCGCAGTCGCGGTGTCGACCCGGACCAGTACACACACGGCGTGATGCTTCGCGGGTACGCAAAGGCGCAGCTGGTCGATCAAATCGGCGAGACGATGCAGCATGTGGATGCAGAGCACGAAATGGATCCCCATCTCCTTCAGACGCTGTCGAGAATGGTCGACCGCGAGAAGCTGATGCGCGTGCTAGAGGAGTCTCGCATGGCAAAGCTAGCCAGGCTACAAGAGCAAGCGAAAAAGGAAGCGGCAGAGCGTGCAAAGAGGTGGGCTGTCCCAGAGTTCATCGACCCCGAGGATGAAGTTGCAGAGCTCCGCAAACTCGAGGCTGAGACGCAGACTGGGGTTGATGACGAGGACGAGGATGTGATTCAGAAGGCAGAAGAGCAGGTGAAGGAGCTACAGGGTCGGTTCGTACCCCCTGTCAAGCCGAAGGAGCGAAGGCGGCGGAGGCGCAGGAAGACGAGCCTGGAATCTGGGAATGGCGAAGAGTACTTTTGAGCAGTCTGGCTGGGTTGTGGGAAATCAGGTGGATTAATACATACATCATGTACAAATATACAAGACTTGTTTCAGCCATGTAGCCAATTTTTTTCATCATACACTTTGTTTATTTATTTCGTTTTACCATCTGCCTTTTATCCCATCTCATCGTATCACACCAGACCCATATCCAAACCCTGACTAGGCCAAACATCTCGCACTGTGTTGTGCTGTTCTGTACTGTATATGGTCACTTGTTTGGTCTTTTTAGTCTTTTTGGGGTCGACTGGTTGTATTCGTGGATTGGCGGGTTGAATGTGTGGTGTAGGATGTAGGATGGAATGATTTGGAGTTGGGGGGAAAGGGGTGTTGAAGTCAAGATCGAGGTTGAAGTCAAGGTGAGCAAAGGAGGGTCAAGTTGAAGTGAGCAGAGAAGAAAGGGGGCTAGTTTGTATATTGTGTCTATTTTACGGCCACGGTTTGGGTTATTCTTCCCATAGAGATGAGCGGGATGGAAATTGAAATCTCTCCTAGAAAGAACAGAGGATTGAATCTCTTCTAGAGTTGCAGGGAATTGAATCGCTTCTGGAATGGCAATGCACTTGCACTATAGTGTTGTATTCTCTGGCCTCCCCCCCCCCCCCCCCCTTTCCCCAAACAACCCCCTTGCATAACTCTCCTAAAAACCCCACCCTTGCTAAAAAGGCTGAAAATGCCCTGTCTCTGTACCGGGGCTGGAAGCGGTTGCCCCACAAGGGGCCCGGTGCAATGATTCCACATAACAACAAGGTCATCCACCAAACCGTTTCCCCCCCGTGCAAGAAGAACACGGGGCTCCCCCTTTTGGTAATCCCCCTCCCTGCTTCTCCGGTGCCCGGAACTAAGGGGCGAAAATTTTCCGGTGGCTGCTACCCCCTTCCAATATGGGCTTGGGCTCCTGTCCTCCCCGCTGTGTCCAAGCCGTGGTCCTCCTCCGGGAAGCCAAGCCCCCCCTCTGCCTCCACTGCTTGGAACCCCCATTCCGGGCTGCTCCCCCGAAATGTCCATGCCAACTGGGTTTCTTGACCTTTATCTGGACCTGGATCTGGACCCGGACCTCCAGGGGGAAAATCCCCGGTGTTGTGGCTTGTCCTGGCTTCTT